CCTATCCCTGTGTGCCTTGCCTCCCACGACTATATAATGGGGATGATTCATGTAACAGTTGTATAGTAGTATAATGGAACCACACATCAAGAAAACCATGTTTTTGGCATTTGTATGACTCCAAATTTTGTTCACACAATCTCTTATCCTCATAATCAATCCTATGAAAAAATAATTTCAATTTGCACCCTATATATGGTTAAATTAGTACCCTCCAACAATGAATCTCGACCGTCCATTTGGTGAATTTCAAGATCTAAACCACAAAATTCATAATCACTTTTTTCTTTTTTAGCATTGTTAATCTAATGATGATAACGCTATATACAAATTTTGGGAATAAAATAATCCTTTTGAGGTCTATATCTCACTAAAATGGATAACTTATATTAATTCCATTATAAAAACACTTTCAAGGGCGTTTTTTCAAAATTTTCTTTTTTTGTGAGTGTTCTTTAGAATGACAAGAGTGTATCGTGTCAAACAAATGTCTCTAACATGGTTTTTGAAGATGATTGCTTTATATTACTGCATGAAATCATTTATAAATATATATATATGGCCTACGGCTACATATGAGCCCAACGACCCAGATTCAATTTGGGTCAATCTGACGGTCACGATTTCGTTTCGTATTTTAATTTTAATTTTTTTTACAAATCCAAATCACATGAAATTTTAAACGTATATTTTTCTCATCAAAGTGTACCTAATAAATATATTTAAAAAATAAGTCACAAAATATAAATTAACCAAAAGATCCCTGAAAAGTTTTGGGGGTGTTTTGGTCAATATTTTTTTGATATTTTTATTGGAATCTCCTCTTTTTATAGAACGCACGACCAAAATTTAAAGTGATTTGGATTTATAGAAAAAAATTAAAATTAAAATACAAAAGACAATCGTGATCATTGAATTGACCCACATTCAATCTTGGGCTGTTGGGCTCATATGTAGCTGTAGGCTAGTGGGCTTACGCCATCATTTGTAAAGAGCATTTATTTTTCGGTGCGGTTTGTATAGAGCTGAGGCTCTAACAATCAAAGTAACGTGCACCTTCAAATGGTGTCGAGGAATGTGGTTTCAATACTGGAAATCTTTGCGATAGCCTTAAAATATATTTTTATCTTTAATTATAAAATTTAAAGCTTAAAAAATAGAGTAGATGAAGTACATTCATGAAAACTTGAAAATCTTGAAAATTGACGGTCCAAAAATGCAATACAAGATGCATTACTTTCAAAACTTTAAATCCGTTTTTTTCTCATGTCCATGCATCTTGATGTCGAGATGATCAATTTTGAGGATATTTTGGCCTCAAAACAACTCGTCTAGTGAAATTTTTGAGGTGGGTTCTAATTTGATTGTTTAGAGCTTCAGCTCTATATAAATTTTTTCCTTCATCTTTTGTACATGGAGGTCATAATGGTTCACACTCATTAGATGTCAAATTAGATGGCTTGGGTTGAGTCATGAAGTACAAGAAATTTTTTGTGACTAACTATTCAATGACACTCTTACAACTATCAATTTTGAAATTTAAAGGGACAAGAATGATTGAGACTTCCATG